AGTGATGAGAGGATCTCTGTGTTACAGCTCCTGACCTGATATCCAGCTGCTCAAACTGGCATTTTAGGCAGTTATTTACTTTCCTCTCCCTGGCATCATTTTAACCTGTCTGCTTCCTTTTTTTGAAGTAAAGGGCCCAGAGGGGGGAAACACTGCATCCAAAAACTCTCCAGTGCTAACACAGCTGCAGGGTTTGTACCCTATCCTGCTGGCCACACAATAAAGCAAAGCGATGATCCCCAGTCTCCTGGTCCCCAGTCACCTGAGTAAGGCAGCTCTCTTTCTATTTTAGCCTAAACCGCATAGAGAGAGCATCAGCTAGAGTTGGTGCTTTTATTGCCTCTATTGAGGAATGGATCATCTGCAGCACAGGCAACTACTCAGTAAAGTTTTTACCCCTTTGCTATTCCTCCTAAATTTTTTGCATGGACGGGATACTTTTGAGGCGGGAGAAATAGCAACAACGAGCAGCTGGTCACGCAGACTCCACTGCAACTCTCCCACAGTTTTCCTCCCCTTTACCACAGGCAGCATGACCACCTAACAGGAACTTGAGATGAGAAGAGTAAAAACATCTATGCAAGCCATCAAGTGCTCTAGACAAGCACTACTCATCTATTGAATGAATAAGATGTCAACTGTGTGAGGTATTTCACCGAAGCCAACATGTCCTGTCCTGCCCCTGCCCAGCTACAAGTTCACGTAGGAACTCAGAGCCAGGAACAGACCCCAGGTCCAACTTCCAGGTCCCATCCTTAACCAAACACTCAAGCTTCTTCCCCAGAAATGTTGCTCTAAATGGGATTAAGTCAGATCCTACGTATGTTTATTTGATTTTAACCAGAAAGTAAACCTCTTAAACGGTGTAGTGAAAAGCAGGAAATCCCTCCCACTGACTAAACATACAATCAAAGCCTCCAAAAGTTGATTAATTCTAATTTTTCCCATGTACTGGGATGCTTGACTTAGAATAACTGATGGGAGAGCTTGCGCTGTATGAATGTTGGGGTTTTGTCTTGCGCAACCACTACAGGCCCTCGGTTCCACTGATGAGCCAGGTGCTACAAAAGCCCATAGGAGAAAGCCCAGGCCCTCGCACGCTTACCCTGCAAAGGGACCATGCTGACAACAGGACAGGTGGGACAAGTCCAGATCAAGTAGCAAAGACAGGAACAGACCCATGACCTCCTGACTCTGAGTCCAAGGCGTAGTTCTGGGTCTAGGTCATACCATGAACACACAGTGAGTTTGAATCTCCTGTTTTATAATACTGCACTACGTGTAAAAAAGTAATATGTTGCCACAGAATTTTTCTGTAAAAATACAGCTAACTTGTGAATCATACAACTGTTACTAATTTCTGGCATAAAACTAACAGGACAGCTGCACATTGTCTGGAGAAGATATCAGGCTAAAAATAGATTAGACTTAGATTAAAGCCTTCCCAAGGCAGACTGGTGGATGAAACAGAATGAGCAGACCACAGCTACACTGCTATTCTTAGATAGACAAAATCAGAACCTAGTTTTGCGCTCTGCAATTTTCAATCCCCAGTGTCCCCACATATTCCGGCCAAAAATTCCCAGCATAAATCGAAGCAAATTTACAGCTCTTCTGACATGTGTTTTGCTTCCCAAGGCATTCTATGTAGAAAAGCTAAAATTGCACAAGAGCATTCAACTGTGTCCCTCTTTGTCCCTGGCCTGCCCCATGCTGAGGTTTGGTACTTGGCAAATTTTATGCCCTCAGAAGAGTTCCCTTTGTCAGGGACACGGAGTGTTTAGTTTGGTACCTTGTAACTATTCTGAGAAATTCAGAAGCATATTAATGTCAAAAGAAGTCCAGTTCCATCAAGCAAGCCAGAAGAATAAGGACTGAGGTACAAGACTTAACTGCTGAAATAGGGCAAAATGATCCTCAGGTGTCGGGGGACGTCTATCATCATCAGGAAACTTTAATCAGAGAGAGCCAGTGCCTGATGTATCCTGTGATTTCAGCTGCAGCTAACATTGACTCGATAGCAGAGCAAACACTTGCCACTTCCAAAAATCAAGCCCGTGACTCTTTAAATTGATCCCCTAAGACCTGATTTATCCCTGGTCAACGGCCATTTCTCTCTGGTTGAAGGCAATAATCCCCATCTGCTCACTGACAGTTGGCTGCTCCACGCTTTCCAAGCACAGCAAAAATCAAGGTTCACGAGGTACGTCATGGTGTCCAGTGAAAGGACAAGAGGAAATGGACACAAGCTGAAATACAGGAAATTCCATTTAAACATAAGGACAAATTTTTTTTACTGTGAGGGTGACCAAATACTGGCACAAGTTGTACAGAGAGGTTGTGGAGTCTCCATCCTTGGCGATATTCAACATCTGACTGGACAAGGTCCTGAGAAACCTGCTCCACTTCACCCTGCTTTGAGCAGGTAGGTTGGACATGACAATCTCCATTTGTCCCTTCTGACCGCAGTGACTCCGCAAAGGCGGCACAATGGTTAAACGCTCAACGCAGGGCTCAGCACTGGTCTCGTATCAGTTTCCAGTAAAGCAATTACACTGACATCAGTGGAATGAATCCTGATTTTCATCTGTATAAGTGGAGGAGAATCATGCTGGTTAGCATGAAAGCCAATTTACGCAGGTGGAAGAATGAAAGACACTCACTGTGGTGCTTCTGTGGAAACTTGCCACATTTTTGTCCCCAGGAAGCCATGCCAACACATCACTGACTACCACTAGTCCTCTTCCTTTTCCATAGCTCACTGTTAAAATCTTTGACATTCAACGCAATTTCTTTTTCGTGAACTGGAAGTCTCACAGGCCTACTCTATATCTCATGTATCTCATAACATTTAAAGGACTAATGAAGATTTTTCCAGAGTGTAGAAAAAAAATTCTTGAAAAATACCTGTTGAAAAAAAATTTATCAATCTCTCTCCTTATAATCTCTTCCAGGGCCCTCAATCACACTGTACGCTGCCGTGCTGGCCATTCTGATTGCTGGATCACAATCCAATACACATCCCAAAACCAGAAGCTTTCCCCCATAAGATTACAGCATTGTAACCGAGGAGGCGAAAAGTAATGGACACTCCTTCTGCCTACTAAGCTGCTACCCAGCTTAGTCCCTCATGGGATATTAGATCTGTCCAACCTTAATTTATGCAGATTTCTCTAAAGGGTCCGATTGCTAGCATGTACGTTATGAACATATGTAAAGGCAGCCAGCGTGGAAGCTCCACGTCTTCCCACGGATGTCCCTGCAGTAGCTGTCAGGGAATCTGAGGGCGCAAGGATTAAGTCTCCCTGGATCTGTGGGGTGATAGGCCTCACCTCTGAATGAAGAGATCACTAGGAAACTGTTTCCTGCACACTAGACAGGGATAACTCATGCAAGGGATGAATGGCCCCAAGATACAGCTAAGGATCTGACGTGAATTGAGAGAAGCCAGGAATTTCCTGACCTCCCTGTCTCACTCCTCCCAGAATGGCCTGAGCTCACAGGAAGGAGAGAGGCAAGCTCATCTCTGAATCTTTCTCTCTTCATTGTTTGGGTCTGTGTAGCCTCAGCTGGTTTGGAGGAGAAAATGTTCTGGGAACTTCTCATCAGATACAGCTCTCTTGATAGACAGTTAGAGATAAACCTTTCTTTTTTTTTTCTTTTCTGCAAAAGTTCAAGATAATGACATTGCCACAGAAAAATGCTTTCCTATTGCTCTGCAAATGGCAGGCTTCACCCTTCAACTGCTTTCTGTCATGGCAATTTTAAAAGTGGTTTGCCTGGGAAAAATCAGACAACAAAGGTCTTGATCTCCAAGCTGTTAATTCTGCAATTGGATCCACTTGCGCTGACCTTCACTTTCAGACAGAAGCTGTGTACAACACGGAAGCTCAGCAAAGGCAGAAGTATCTCCATCAGGGTGACCAGGGCCCTGAGCATCAGCAGGACACTGACCACTGGCAAACACAACAGATTTTACTCGCAATGTGTCATCCATGAAAGACTGTTCACACCGGCTTCCGTCGCTGACACAGTCCCTCGGAGAAAGAGGACGTGGCCAGGTAGCCAAGTCTTCTGCATGGGAGCAGCAGCTGGAGGCCAGACAGGCTATCCTCTAAGGTCTAAAACAGCACTGATTTACAACATTTAGGTATAAATCTCTCCCTAGACACCTAACTTTCAGACAGCTCCAGTTAAGAGAGCTAATCCGCATGGCAGGAGTATGCCTACAGCAGCAGTGAATCACAGTGCAGAGACCCCTGAGCTATCACTGAACCAAACTGATTATGTCCACACAAGGCCAAGTGTCAACACGCTTCCTCATGTCCCACAGCAGTCTAGGAGCATAAGCACGGCCAGTCTAGCCGCCTAAGCAGTGTCTGGCCTAGCTAATGAAGCCAGAAACTTGGGAGGCAGAACAGACTTGTGCTGTGCTGATACGGCCACACCATTTCCAGCTCTGGCACAGGCTCGGTCAGGGGCAATTCAGGGCTCTCTGCACGGCTGCTTCACTGTGCAGTGAGACTGTGCTCTAAGGACCACCCCAGAACTTCAGCCCACAGCTTCCTGATGGGAGATAAAAGCCTGCAGAGGCGTCCACATGGTCAGATTTTACTCATCTTCTAGTTCTGTTTCATTCCAAACTCATTCCACTGCAACATGTTTGCTCACACGATGACAAAGCTTACCAAAATCAATTTGCAGGACAAGAACATGAAAGGATTCACAAGAGGATAAAGGAGTATGCTGAAGAATTCAACAAGTTATCTTAAGTTCAGTGCAGGATTCCAATCTCATCAGCGGATTTCTATAAGCTAAATCAATGGGCAGCGATTCCCCATTTTACCCAACTCTTCACAGCTCCTAGAATGCCAGTGGGAAGTAGCAAGACGCATAAAGATAGCACACTAGGCCAAATCCTTGGCTGATGCAATCAGAAAAACTCTCCTGAAGTCAGCAGGGGTAGGCTAATTTACATGCTGGTGTCTAACTCTGGATGATTAAGTACAGAGATGCTTTGCTGGGAAAGGGCAATCTCTCATTTGATCCTAAGTATCATCAATCATGAGATTGCAGATAACAAGCCGGTTGAGTACATGTAAATTTTTCTCCAATCTGAAAAGGCCTCTTCCAGAGACTCTCCATGGCCATTACTAAAGGCCAGTTACAGTTCTAACTGGACAGGAATAGCTGCTCCTCTATTGGCAGGTCTGCATCCTTTGCCTCTCCCGTGTCGATTAGATAAAAATAAGCCTTTAATACTTTCATTCCTGGTTTTCCTGAAGAGCTAGAGGTCAGGAAGATAATGACCAATAAACTCAGTTCCAACAGCACAGTTTTTATTTTTCATAACCAAGGAACCAGAAATAATAAAGCAGTTCACTTCAGATGAAGAGCAGTTATGGGCTCGTCCACATTTCCAAAAGCAACTTGTGACTGTGGGTACCATTTTTGAACTCAGCACTTCTTGAATACCAAATCCTTGTACAAACACCAAATTCTGGGACTCTCCAAATTGTTTTAGTTACGTCTGAAAATCTTGGCCTGAATGTTTAACTGTACAGAGAGCAGCTTTAAACCCAAGTCCGTGAGGTGCTGCTCCATGGACAGCTGAACAGCTAACACTGCGCTGCCACCAGAAGGGCAGGTCTCCCTCCCGGACCCTCTTTGCCCATTCCTCGCCTTCCAGTCTTGCCTGCTCCCTTGCAGTAGTGCTGGTATGTCAGCGATTATTCGGTGAGTTAGTTCAAGGGGATCTTCTTCTGGTGGAAACCTAACACTGAGAGTCACGCACTAGCAGTGCAAGTCTAAGGGCTCATGTCTGCTCCAATAAAGGGAGACCTCCATGGCCCAGGCTAAGTTGTTCCCCAAGGCCCCTCACACCCCAAGCTGATTAAACTCCGAAATCCAGGAGAAAACAAGTCACTTTGGAGACCCTATAGCTCCTTAAAGCAGAGAGCTTCCCTGAACACACCTGACAGTTGGAAAATGCTATTACTTGACTGCACTGTAGTCTGGATAGAAACAAGGTGTTCGCATTCACACCTCAACAGGACTATCTCTACCCATCTTACCTATACTTGACCCTGTTAGATAATACCTAACTCAAACTTCCCATCCACCCAAGCTTGTTCTCATTTTTTAAGATAAACTTCACTCACCAGTTTGGCTTCCTGATTCAAGTGGAATACACAATGGTCATTTGTTTTAACCACTTCCCTCAGAAAAGAAGGGAAAGTCCCTCTCATATGGAAAATAGTGTCAAATTTTTATCAGCACTGTCTTTACAATGATGATCTGCGCTTTTTAACTAGTGACTTGATTTTGTTTTTTCCTATACTGACTGAAATATTAGCCAACTTCTAAGCTATGATGGTTTAAAAAATAGTATCAAAGAATACATCAAAAAAACGCTCTGCCATGCAGAATCTACCAGGCAGAGGGCTTGGGATTATTTTTTTTTAAGTCTTTGGACACATACAATGGATAAAGTGACTCTTCCATTTTTCAGCAACTAATGCTGTTTCCACCACTCTCAGACACTCTCACTATTGCTACCGTATTCTAATGAAATTCAGATGCTGCAAGAGAGAGGTGTCTGGTGCTCTGCTTATAATCGTGACAGACCCGAAAGAATGTCAGAGCATGAATCAGTGGGACAACCACGAGTTACAAACAAAAAAGGCTCCTGTTTTCACACAGACAACAGAATAAACAATGATCAGAAGGAAACTGGAGGATGTGACACAAAAAAAAATGTGGTTAAAGTTTGAAAAATACCAGCCTAGGCACAGAAGTTCATTTCTAAGATTCAGAGTCAAGGCAAATACTTCACAGATGCCTTTTGAATGACACGTTAAGTTGTAGTCTCCAGTTGCTGTCTGGGTTAGACACCCCGGGATTCTTTTCAACAGAGGCGGGGAAAATTTTAGTAGCAATTTCCTACTCTCATTAACTTATCCTGTAAAGATTCAGTTTCTGAACATTCAAGCTCACGCGATTTTCAACTAATTTGAATGGGAGGAGGATCAAGTGGCAAGTCTGGTGGTATTCAGAGATTTGCCCTGTCACTGATTCAGGGTTTGGCCTGGGCAGCCTTCAGGATGCAATTAATTTCACATAAATTTACTTATCTAAAATTACATGTCTGGTCTACCCTAGTTCTTTGGGTTGCCCCAACAACCACTGAAAAAGAGATCAGCACCTCCAGGGGATAATTCTTCCTATCCTAGAGAGGTAGCCAAAAAGGGATAGGATCCAGTGAGTACTTGTGACTCACATGTAAAGATAGTCTGGAAGCAAGAAAGGAGAAGCGAAGACCATGTTAGGCAACAGACAAACACGCCCTTCAAACCGAACACAGGGTGGTGATTTCAGAGCCTTAATCCAAAAACACACACAGGTAAACCAGCTTGGTGGGGACGCTGATACGTTTAGTCTCCGTGCGTAATTGACAAGTGCCAGCTCCAGAGGACAGGACAAAATTATTGTACTGGATGTATGAAATAAGCTGACCATGGAAAGTTTCTTCCTAAATGCTTCCAGTTCATGTTTATGTCCCTATGCCATAATACTTTCTAGCCTCTATGTATCTTGATACAGCACAATAAATCCACTAATGTTAGTTGAATCTTGTGCCATCCTAGATGAAGTAATGTTCCATGGCAATGAATTCCACCTTGCCTGGCGTATCTTAGAGCCACTAAAATTTGCTCACCTGCTGAGATGCCCTTGAGCGAAGCATCCTGCCCGTCTCCTTTATTTCCATCTTCTTCTTTCCACCTACAATCCAAACATCAAATCAAAACTAGCTCTGAAGTTAAAACCCTACATTTAATTGAAAAAAAAAAAAAAAAAAAATCCAGAAGCCTGACTAAACCACTGTAGCAAAATCCCATGCCTGATCTGAAATTGTGTAACCTTTGCTCTCAGGCCTGGCAGTTTATTCCTGGAAACAGAGGTTTCAGAATAAAGTGTCATCTGAACGTGCAACACATCAACTTGCAGCAGCTCCTATCAATGAAACTTAAACCCCATTTTAACCTGGTTTCCTAAGAAAACAAAGCTTATGCCTGCATGCACTCTATCCAAGTGGGTGTGTGTATGGGGAAGGAGGGAAGCTGTCCCCTGACTATTGATCTTATTAGACAGTTTCAATAAAATTTGATGGGGGGTCCCAAAGTGCCTCAGTTTCATGAAAACAGACAACTGGTTAGGGGAGGAAGATCCTGTTAATATCCCCACAGTGGAAAAGGTAGCAGTATGAGTTCACCCCTTACTACTCATCAGAGAATCTGCAGTAGAAAGACCTGAAAAGGTGACTTCATAGGCAGACAAGCTTCTTTATTCCACTGCTTGGGGATCTCAGGAATGCTATTTACCATTTTGTCACTAGATGGTATTGTTCCACAGGCTATATCTGAGAGCCTCAAAGGTCAAATACAGCATGGCATATCAGAAGCTAGGTTGGTTGAAGTGCAAGAAAAGGCTTTTTTTCAGGTATCTTCATGTATGTTTTCACATATGGAAGTGATTAGCAAAATCAAACTGTAACAGCTAAAGGAAAAGAGCTTTGATGAAAATGTAGATAATGTAACAGTATTGATGAACTGTGCATTTCCTCCATATCTAAAAAAACCTGCTGAGATAAAGAGGTGGGAAGATATTGAATGTTTCTGTTAACAAACCAAGCATCTACAACAAGCCCTTTATTATTGTTCAATCTGATCTGACACAAAACTCAAACAGCCTGTTCACCCATTTCACAGGAAGTGAGAAAACCTAACTATTATGCTAGGATACATAGCATAGCATGTATCATGAGCACAAACTCCTTCAGTTTTGAAACTGGGCATTTACCTGTATCTTGAAGGTAAAAAGAAGATGTTTCCGTTTTCCAGCCTGGATGGGTGTCACTTTTGTCCTCTCCACGCTCACTTGAATCTGCTCTGACAGGGAGAGGGTGATTCTGTAAAGCAAATGATGCTTTGTCTTAATAGCATAACTTAAAAAATATGCCAAGGTGGTAAATCCATAAACCCAGCACTAATAGGAATGAGAGGGATGAGATTTTCACAGCTCCTCAGTGTCCAGGCCTTCCTTCTCCCAAGCCTACAGGTCTTTCAAGAGAGAAATTTTCTAAGAAAAACCAGAATTCCAACCTAAATGGCTTCCTAGCTTCATGAGTTAGTTATGTTGGGTTTTATTCCCTGGCACTGACCACCTAAAATTAAATCGTCAAGTCTGAGCTACCAGTCCAGGCTGCCCTTTCTGTCATTTTGGAGAGACACCACCAGAGGACCATTCATTCCAGCCTACCTTGGTGTCTAAGGAAATTATCTGAATTACCTGCTAAGGATGCCTCCTCCTCCACTAAGCGCAGAGGGGGGTCTAAAGAAATTAGGCACAACACGTAACTTTTAGATGGCTAGAGGTAAGTGGAAGGAATCCCACCTAACTACACAGTGGAACATGACTTAGTCCTGAGAAACGCCAAGTGGAAACGCAAAACTCTCTGCAATTTTCTCCATTTTGTGCATATCTGTGTGTAAATGTGCTTGTGTGCACACACGCGTGTGTTGTGTGTCTCTGCACAGTCACTGCCGTCTTCTGGGAGAACATACTAGACTCAGTAAGTCAGTGGATATGCTGGAATGAAATTCACTTTATGTCTATGGACTTCCAGCCTTCGTACACGAGCTGAAACCCGTATTAACTTAGGATTCTGAGAAAATGTTTTTCTAAGGAGAGTTTTGCTACATAAACTCCATTCCTCCATCGAGAACCAAATAGAGGTGTTTCTATACCTTTGTGCTCCCTTCCTCTTCCTCTTCATCACAGTCTAACCCTTGATGGGAGATCTCAGTAGGGCCATTCTTCTGGATCAGGTTGCTCACGAGCTGAAACCCGTATTAACTTAGGATTCTGAGAAAATGTTTTTCTAAGGAGAGTTTTGCTACATAAACTCCATTCCTCCATCGAGAACCAAATAGAGGTGTTTCTATACCTTTGTGCTCCCTTCCTCTTCCTCTTCATCACAGTCTAACCCTTGATGGGAGATCTCAGTAGGGCCATTCTTCTGGATCAGGTTGCTTTCAACTGTCGCCATTCTTTTCTTTTCAGTTGTCACTCTCACTTTCATGAGGTGGAACCCAGTGGAGACTGACCCTACTCTCAGGTTTACAGGATCGCCATCAAACAACAGGTCACCAGGGCTGCCATCTTCCTTAAAGCCTGGGGGCTGGTAATCTTTGGGAGTTACTACACAGGGAGAAAGCACCCACTGATGTCAGAGAAATCAAGTTCCATCTCTCCTTAATCTGATTTATAAAGAACAAGTGTATACAAGCCTCAAGTAACAACATCAACTACTAAAAATATTCTGGCCTTTTTTTTCAGGAAGAAGGGAGAGAATGCAAAGGAAAAAATGAGCTGAGCAAATGTTATCAGGAAGCTCAAAGAAATAATGACTTTAGGATGCTGAGATACCATTAATGTGCTCGACTTTCTGGAGCAGAACCTGACAAACGCAGGATGCCTGTTCCTTAAAAAAACAAACACAAAAACTGTGAAGGAGAAGGATGTCTCCTTTTCACACTGCATGGCTGTACTTCTTACATGGTTGTTCAACCCTTTCTTAAAAAGCATCTGCCACCCCTGTGTGTCAGAAGGCTTTACTCTGTTTTACACCATTTCTCACTGTTATCAGTTAACAACTTCTACCATTTCACCTTTCTACGCTTTACTTACTTTACAGGGGCTCATGATTAGCATAGAAACTGATGGAAAGGGAATTTTTCCCCACAGCCCACACTGTTCTCCACCTACCATCATTGTAGTAGAGGAGTTTCATGGTCAGGGTAATGTCATTGGGAAGCGGCCCGAGGTTTTGCATTAACAGGTACAGTTTACGGATCAGGAGCCGGCTGGCCTGTTTAACATCCTCGCTGCACACCCCATTCACAAAGTTCATTTGGTTGCTACAATCAGAAGAAGAATAACAGATTTGTTTTCCTCAGTCATGAATATTCACGATCTAATTACAAATACAGTGCACCCACTGACTTGTCTGAAACCACCAGCAACAAAGCTACAATGCCTTTATGTAATTTCCAGATAAACAGGGAAGTGAAACAGACTCCAGGGATGGGGTGGCATCAGCAAAACAACAGCTCTAAACTAAGAGGCATGGCATTTGCATTTGAACAGACTTTGTAGCTGGGGCAATGGACCCCATTATACAAATGTCATGACTCACTTGTTTGAACATGATTAAATTGGATCAAAGGACCATAAAACAAGTGCCTTTCACCTAAACAATTTCAGGAATGAGAGGAATGAGGTGAGAATCACATATAAAGCCGATTCATCACAGGGGCTATTTTCAAGTCCATTTTGCAGTTTGAAGAGAAGTGAATTGCATGTTCTCACTTCAATTCCATGTAAGAAAAACTAGCTCAGAAGCACATTTTTCAAAAGTGACTAAGGGGCATTCCTCTCACCTCCTTCACCAATCCAAATGTCAGCTGGCTAGTCTAAGCAAGCAGTCTAGACTGAGATAAACCTCTAACAGAAGTGGGATGAATGGCTCTCTGGAGGAGTTTGTTTCTCTTGACTACAGAGGTAGATGAGATGAGCAGCTTAGATCAGCCAGCTAACTTTAGACGGTTGAAGATGGACTAGATGAATCACTACGTGACTAAGGAACTTAAACTTCCTTATCTTTCAGTGAAAAGGGGCCATAAAAAAAATGTAGCTCCTCCCTTACGTCTTCAGAAGACCACTGGCAGGTGGATGACACTATATACAGGCTGGATGGTCCCCAACACAGTCATCCCAAATTGCTTCAAAAGCAGTAAGTAATGCAAGAGAGCAGAGAGGATCCCAGGGCTGAACATGACTGATTTAAACCACTGGAAGGAACAGCTTCGTTAAGACTGATTTCCCCTTCCAGTTGAAGCTTCTTGGCTCGTCACGAAAACTGAATGGCTGTTGAACTGCTTGAATTCGCAGGGTATGCAGGGTATGGTTTGGTAAGCTCCAAATTGCCAACAGCAAAACTCTGTGCTGAGCACACTGGGCAATTAGATTAAATCCTGTATGTTCAGAAATGTACATCAAGTGTGAGGACAAATGCTGGCAATGCCTAAGGTGGAGTAAAGAGAAAGTAAGCCTTCTCTTACACATCACCTTTACAAGCCTTGGGATTAGTGGTTAGAGTGTAAGCAAAAAGAGACGAGACTGCCATAGGCATTAACAGGTCAAGTACTGGTTCAATATGGGAATAACATTGTGGATTTGATACAGGAATGCGCCAAAAGGTAGAAGCTGAGGAACTGAACCTCTCTGAAGGACTGGGATCAATGGCGAGGAATTCCTCCGAAATCCCTCTAAAGTAAGGCAGAGACCATTTAGGAGAAAGTTTCCTTTTACCACTCAGATACGATGATGCAGACCCACAAAACATCTCTCACGGAATGATTAACTCAGACATGACAATAAACCTTGCAGGTGTATAAAAGCAGTTTTATCAGCTGAACGAGCTGATAGCAAAGATGACACAATACTCTGATCAATGCCAGAATGTCAGCTTACTAACAACTGCAGGTACACGCGTGATCCTGCGATAGCAGTGTCAGTCACTGAGGAAACAGAACAGAGCCCAGGAATCTGATGCCACGGGCTTTGAAGCCTCAGAGCAGTAATGAGACTTCAACAGAGCAGATATAAACACAACAGCAAGATTACTTAGCCTCTCCTTGGCCAGTAGGATAGACACCAAGGGATGCTGAGTTCCATTTGGGGACTGTTACTTCTAGGAACTAATGACTGATCTGAGTAAGGCTGATTAAAAAAACAAAGTACTCAAGAGCTATCTATTATCTTTCGGATCCCAAAGCTCTCCTTTTTCCCTCCGTGTAGTAAGGACAACTGACAGCAGCTTCAAAGCAGAAACAGAGGGTACAGTCAACAGGACACTCCAGACTTGGACATAGCTCAGATTTTCCCAACAGAAAATCACTTTGCCACATACTACAAATTATGTGGATGTGTTTAGAGAAAGAGCTGCAAACGGTACACTACAGGAGTGCTGCGGAGGAGTTTCCTGAGGGGCATGCACGTCAGCAGAGCTCTCTTGCTGTACAGGCAGGTTCCAAGGCCCAGAGACCCATCTTTCACCAAGGGTTAACTGCAGAAGCAAACTAAAACTGGGTTAATTATTTTTCTTTGCTTTGGTTATAGCCAATGGCCTTTGATAGTATTTATTTTAAACTACACAGGATTATGGCCTACTAAACACAGCTTTAAAATATCTAACAGACAGACAGAGCCAAAAAGATGCAAAAAGCTGCTGCTTCCTGCCAAACACTTTGCAACATCAACTCAGGCATCATAAGCGAAAGTTCTCTCAAGTCACCCACGCAAGACTGCTCAAGCAGAATACACGTATGCAAATGCCCAAGGAAAAGAATCCTGGGTGCAGGATCATGGTGAAAGGGATCAAACCTGAAAAAGCTTCATTTGAAAGCACAAGGCTGTCTTGTGAAAGTGGAAGAACACTCGTTATAGTTGAGACAGTAGCAAGCTCAACAACGGTGCCAGTTTCTGCATCGCTACTCTGATGAGGAACCATTTCTATACATCGTCCTTAATTCAGTTCTGGTGCACTTTAACTGTGCTACGTAACAGCATTTCTACTCATCAGCTCGGCAGTTCATATCCTGTAGGGCGACTATCCTCAACTCTGATGATATTTACAGCTGCTTAGCGACTCAAACATGCTCTAATCATAAAGTGCAGTTTCTTCTTAATGCTTCAAGAACACAGTTTTCACAGTGTAATTCTGAGAAATAAAACCAAACCATTACCTGATGATGTCCATCTGGGGAACCTCCTTTTTGTACTTGAATTTGAATTGATACAGTTCAGTCACTGTCTAGAGATTTAACAAGAGAGGTGAAAAGAAGAAATGGGTCTCTTTCAGTAACAAGTGTAAAGATGTGTATTGAACTTAGCAGTGTCCTTTCACAACTTTATGCCAGAGCACAGCATTAATTTAATGACACGATGACAGCTTTAACTATATTATTGCTTGCACGGGCTTTGGTAAATTTTCTTAACAGCCACAGCTTACCTAGCACTGAAAGAATCACAAAAAAATGACAAACTTCCTGCTTCTTCCTTCCCCTTCCTCTGTGGGCCTGACTCCCCAGCCTAAATCTCTAATGAGGCACCGGGGCCAGCCAACCATCACAACGTATGTGTGTCCTCCCTTTACCAAAAGGAAAAATGTGAGGCTTCACGGCTGATGCAGTGTCACAGGGAAGCCTGGCCCAGAGTTCTGTATGGAGATAAGGGCCTGAAGGACTCTTCGTACTAGGAAATAAAAACAATACTGCATGGGCAAAAGTTTCTAAATTTCACTGGTCTCAGAGTTTTATGAAGGAAATTAAAAAAAAACTAGATGACTTTCCATTTAAAAAGAAAAGATTTGCTATGATTTTAGAGAATAAAATAATTAGGAAGAACAGACTACTTCACCACAAGAGAAAGGATCTATTGTAGTCCAATTCCATGCCTATAATTCACTTTTTCCAGAGGCAATGAGGTCAATTAGTAGGAGCTCAGCTGAGCCCTTAACTCTGAGCCTTCCTCACAAATCCCAGCCTTGGTACAGACTGAACTCTTGCTCTCTCCCCAGATGCTGAGGTGCGACACAGTAGAACTGTAATCAGGTGAGCAAAGATTCTGCAGCCGCCCTGTGGAGACAGCATGGATGCAGAACCTCGCTTACATATCACACTACCCACGTCTGCCTCCACTGGTTAGATGTAGACAAAATAGAAACACAACAGAGAATACTGAAAGGATAAGTACAGCACTACGCAACACACATACCCCAGGTCTTCTGTCCTAAACCTCTCTGCACGAAAAAACAGCTCTCTTTTCAACACTGTTGTTAAAAAGATGGTTCGTAAAAGAATTATTTTGAACTTCCCATTTCTTCTCTTCGGGAAAGAAAAACAAAATTGCCAACATGCCCATTAGTTGCCTTTAACATCCCTGCCTGAGGCCCTAGATGGGCCCACAGCCTAGTGCCTGGTAGGAGTGTTTGATCACAATCCAGCTCACTGAGCTGTCATTCTTGAGTGAAGGCAGAAGAGAAACAGGGTCACCAAGCAGCTATGTCAGGGTAGAATTTAAGCCTACAAGTCCACTCTGAATACAAATCTACTCACCCATGCCTTCAGTTGCCTCAAAGATTAATTAAGACTCTTTCTTACCTCCGGTTCCTTGGGATTGGTGTAAATCTGTTATAAGAAAGCACAGTGAGGGCATTGTCCCCTTGGATAGCTTGAACCAGTGAAAAGTGACTAAACAATGATATGTTCATTTTACAGCAGAGATTGTACTATCTTTAGCATGGGATCAGAGAAAGGAATGGCTGAGAAACAGCCTTCCTCTATCAGCAGTCAATACTTACCACTTCAAAGACAGGTAGAAGACACTCATCTGTGTAATTGTGGAGGAATGAGGTTAATTCCCATTCCAACCCTCACAGCAACTATGGATGCCGGAGATTTAACTACTCAGATTACGCACAGAATAGATGCATAGCATAGCTCTTGGTGCTTTACAAAGGACCAGGGCAAAAGACCTGCTATGTAACCACCAGATTAATAAGGAGGACTCTTCTGCAGGGGAAAATGGAGAAGACACAGCAGCTTCCAAGGGTGGAGGCAAGAGTTTAAAGGAAGCAATGATATGAAGCACATGAAAGCGCTTCTAGGAGTTTAAGGATGCATGTAAGGCCTCAGTCAGAAGTCTGACATACTGAGAAAAATATTCCCACGCAGCCTAGGAAGTTCATATTTACCATATTTAAGAAAGGTCACCGCTCTATTAAAAACCACATACATTTTGACTTCCCCTTAAAAAAGGCACAACCTTGACTCCGTATCTCTTTCAAGTAGGGTGGGGGAAGAAAACGCCTTGGATTCATTTACTTACTGCGAGGACAGCAATGTGTAACTAAGGAGAGAAAAACAAAACAAAACACAAAATCAAGATCTAACCTTAATGGGCAAGGAAGAAAAAGACCTATCAAAATCTAACTGCCTACATACAGTGAAGGAATAGATATATTCGACACAGTGTGAGTGAAAAACCTTTATGCAGATTCTTCATAGCACAGCATCAGCAACACCTAGTGGCCAGTTTGCTTGGCTTTACTTGCAGTTTCCCAAGCAAACAACTGCACGCTCAGACTTCTCTCTTGGGACTCTTTCTAAACAGATCTCCAAAGGCTAGGCCAATTTAAAACTCTTTTACAAGAGCACCCATCCCTCCTGAAGACTAATATTTGCTCTCTGCTATGAAACTCCGCAAAGGTATTTAATTTATCCTATAGCAAGAAAATGTACATGGGACTACTTTTGAAAACAATCCTACATCATGCATTGTGTCTCCGTTTTTTCCTTAATCCTTGTCAAATAACAATTAATTTATGTCTCACATAAATAGCAGAGGACTAAATACCTCCTAGAACTGTCAGCAATCAATAAACTGAGTTCACAACATTTTTAATTATCTTATGCACATTGACATACATCAGTTGTACTGATGTATAAGAGCTCATCTGATCATCAGTGCCGAAACTAACACCACGTCATCTGATCTAGATGACGGTTGGTTTGATGAAGAGTGCTGACAGAGATGACAACAGTTGGTGCTTTTTCCTGTGCAGAGCAGTTTTTATGTGAGAATCAGCACGGAATATGATTACTTACTACCTGATTTTGTCCTGGAACCAGTTATATACCTTACTTGATTAATTACTTTCAAAAAAAAAAGTAACAAATTCTGAATCCAAGAGAAAAGCTAGGAGGGTTAAAGAAGATGAGAAGAAGGGAACAGCCTAGGGGAAAGATGATGAAGGAAAGCAGAAGCACGAAATAATGTGTCTCAGGAAAACAGGCATGGAGATCGAGATCTAAGTTCTGACTGGCAGTGTCCCTATCCAGACATTAGAGAACGCAAATGTAGAACACAGAACTAAGGGAAATCCCTTTCAGGCTGCAAATTAGTTCACACACCATGTACAGGCAAGTCTAGAGAGCAACAGCGGTCAATAGTTGGACTCAAGGAATAAAATCCCAAATCTCGCATGTATATACTCAGGGCAGGGTCTTCCCCCTATCCCACAGCTGTGAATGTGGTGTGCATGCAAGATCACTACAAAAATATAAAGCAGGAATAGAAAGATAGTTTTGCCCAAACTTTATGAAGAAACAGGAAACCCCATTAAAAAAAGGTGAAAAAACTTACATACTGCCTCTCCAACGCATCAAAACAACCTTGAATCCTGCCAGGGAGAAACATGTTAATACTAACCAGCAATATTTATCTCCTGATCTGTAAACACATACTCATTAGACAGAGTTTAAAGTGCATTTTTTTTCTGGAATTAAGACAACACAGCTAGCAGCATTTGGGGCCTGTAAAGTCCTTTTCAGGTCAACCATCATAAAGGCGCTGTCCTCCCTTCTGCATTTGTGCATTGTTTATACTTCTAGGGCCATATCCTGTCAGCCTGGAGCCCACTTAAATCCTGACAAAGACAAGGATTCGAGGCCTAAGGCTGGCTCTGAGTGGGCCTCTGCTCAGTGCTCTATTCTAGCTCCCCAGCTTGCTCTCCAGTGGCTCTTTTCCCACTGGCACTGTACAGAGCTTGGCTGAAACTTCAATCTGAACGCAGCCTGACATGTCTGGTCTTGTAAATTTTTTGTTATCTGATGCATAGTTTACAGCTATGGTCTTTCTCAAAGTAGTAAATATTATTTGAGGTAGCAATAGTCAGATATTTACTCTTTGAGTCAAAGGATGTGCAGTCAGGTATCTCCTTAGCACATCAAAGTCAGACTCTCTGCTTGTTGGGAACATGCCAACTCTGAAATCCACCCTAAAGAAAGTCGTAGGGTACTTAGACACACAATATCCAGGGAGATAAGATATTGTATATACTAACAAACAAGCTACAAGAATCCCTATAAAAGCAAAACTAGAAAAGACTAAATAACAACAGAATCAATCTCATGATTTTCTTTACCCTCTCTCTGTACCTACGCTGCCTGCGTGTGCTCTGGGGCCTGACCATGACCTCACCACAGCCAACACTTCAACAGACCTTGAACTCACATGATCTTGGTCAGCTAATTCTGTCTTGCTTACGCACAGGGCCGAGCACACACGCTGCAGCAGTGGGAGTTGCACTGGCGTAGTCGATAGCGCTACCGGGCACAATATTTTCAAATTCAGGAAGAAGAAGAATGCGAGGGGTAGACGTCTTGCTACTCAGCACAATCTTGTCTTAGTTTCGCTGTTACCTACTTACCACTTGACTATCTGCAATGATCCCAGACAGCTTTTATCTTCTCGGAGAATTTTTAGACAGAGGTCTGCAAAACCAGATTTAGCACATAGTTACAACCCTTATCACAGCTGTTGGGCAAACACTGACACTAAGCCAGTTACCCTCCCTTTTTTGGATAAAATGCGTTATCTGGGGGTCCTTCCTGAGTGGAAATGTTGGTTTTCCACTGAGTCCCAGGTAGGCTGACACAAGCTTATTGCTGCATTTTCAAATGTCAAGACTTTCCTCACATACTCTGGGCTCTCCCAGAAAAAGTGCTAGAGTTATGGCTTAATTTCGAAACACCAGCAGCTTCCGTCCTCTCCTGCCTCCTCTTCTCCACTCCCATCTATTCTGCCATTCCCTAACAACACCTTCACTTGTGCATTCAGACTTCACCAACATCCACGCGAGGTAAATGACTGTGCTCAGAACAAACTATTTCTGTTAAGCTTTTCCACACAGTTCCTTCTACCTCTGTTTTCAGGCTTTCAGAATGGCAAGAGGAAACGCATCCTGCAAATGAAGAGGTGAATTAATTACATCTTAGGATTCAACCAAGGAGCCCTCAAAGGCATGAGCTGGCCAGATGTTAACATTCTCGATCAAAAAGGCACTTGAAAGACCTGATGTTTGAGTAGAAAGACTAGTGGCTTTTCAGGGTTAGGTGATCAAGGGCCAATCTGGGATTTCCTGTGCCCTCAACCAAATCCACAAAGTGCATGTGACCATGTTTCAGGACAACTAACTGTGTAAGTAAAAACATGGAAACAGATTGGAATGCATGGAGACATTTCACACCCTGCTAACACATCTCGAATGAACATAAAGATGTTGATGAACCAAAGCATCACCAATTCTTGTGATCCTATGACAAGACTTTGGTTCTTAAAGTTCTTTTTTTTCTTAAAGTTCTGATTCCCAAGTGCATGTGGTTATGTGAAATAGTTTTCACAGAAAAAAAAACCAATAAAACAAACAAACAAATCTACTTTCAATCTTGGAAGGAAAGCTGAATATGTGAACCTCAAAGGCTCAAAAATCCAAAGGAAAATAAAACACACCGGAGTTAATTTTTTAAAACTTACTGATTTTTAAGTCAATCTCCTCACTCTGAGACCTGATTCACGGGGCTGGCAACGCCAAGGAATGCTTACAAACCAAAAGAAACACTAAGAGAAAAGCCACAAGTTGCCAATAGCTCTAGGTTGTCTTCTATGCTCTCTATCTGTCTGATGCAGAAGCACTGTCTGCATCCAGACTTGAAAAGGCCCGTTAGCTAACTTCCTAATAAACTGCCCTCACACATATATGAGCAGCTGGAAGCTAACATGTAAAGCAGATTATAGCTAAAATATAGCAAGTAGAAATAAGAATTCAGCACAAATTGAAAGTGTTACCATCTAAATAGCGAGTTCCGTAAGAGGTCTCTGGGAACAGCCCTCTCATGTATGTTATACAGGATACAGAAATGGCCAGAAGTCTTTTCACCAGCACCACAGACTGCTGCTCAGTAGCAATTTTGTTGGGGAACAACACTGATTCCTGAAAAAGAAGGGCAAAGCCAAAAATAGCACCATTTTAGGGTAACACAGGGATTATACTGAGAAACAACTCTCAGCAGTTGGAAAAAGAAGGTAACTTAGAAACATAATTTTAACATTTCTCTGGTCTTCATACTACACATAGAAGACTAATGTCTAACATGGGTGGAATTAAATGTTTTAAGGATAGTTATTGTTAGATCTGGCATGATTTACTCAGAAGCAGACTGCATGGGTCATTCCCTCCCCTTTTATCACAGCTGAACGTTCCCACCCCCTCCACTGCACCAATGCTGGCCCTTAACAGACAACCATCCCTTAAAAAAAAAAAGTGTATAGTTTTCTGCCAGGTTAGCTCTACAGAGTTAATCGTGGAGTGCCAGTGCTGCTGTGGCGTTCACTGCTGTACCAAAGTTCACTCCCTGCCACAGGTTTTTTTGAGATCTGACAGCAGACTGAACCTGCCAACACAGACCCAGTTTTCAGAGTGATTTTAACGCAGGGTTGTAAACAGTGCATGGCTATGATTGGAGCTAATGTAAATACTAACACTGTACGATTTTAACATGAACAATCTCAGCGGGAAGTATACTAAATTTAGTTCCTCTATTAGTTCATTGCTTTTCTTCCTGCTAATAAAGCTCTGTGCACACCTAATGAGCCTACATTTATATAGTCAAATACATGTCAAAGCCCCATAGTGTATCTTCCTGGACTCACTAAATTGGAAATAATCCAACCAAGAACAGTGCAGACAACAGAAAGTGTTCCCACTTAACCTGGCACAGATGTGCCAGGTCCAAACCTGAGAGCTAAGAATGTCAGTACCATCACATTTCAAGGTCTTTACCTTAGAGGACTTTTTCTTGTGCCTAGTCTGTAACAGCTGATGAGTAGCCATCCTATATTTCAAAGACCTGCCTTCCACTTGTAATTAAAACCTGGGGGAGGCGGGGGGAGGAAAAACATGTAAAATACACAGTCATTGCTATTTCTCATCTTCCTTAAGCTAAGAATGAGATTCTTCAGCCTTATTCAGGTCTAAAAGCTAATTGCCAGTCAGGACAGCTAAAGCAAAGCAAACCAAGGATACTCTATGGCACTGTCTCAGAGCCTGCAGAGTGAGAAAACTCCTTATTCACTGGTAAACGATCAATAGTATTTGAAATTCAGGGCCTGTACCTGGCGTCAGCTGGTGCCACTTCAAAATGCATTTGTCGTATTCCAAACCACAAATGTTAATTCCTACAACCATTAAAAAGTGTGAAGGGGGAATGTGAAAGAACGCGAAGTCTGCCAATAGCAGCCAGTATTTTAGCAAGGGTAAGCAGGAAAAGCACTAACATCAATCTTGGCCAGAATAAAGGAATGATTCTTGAGAGACACCTTGAAATTAAAAAAAAAGAAAAAAAAAAAAAGAGAGAAGTCCACATTGTTTCAAGGAAAGCAGGCCTTGCTAGACAAACCTGGATTAAAGAGAAATCTTTTTACAAGAAGGGAAAGCTGATTGATAAAGGTAATATTGTGGACACTGTAAGTTTCGCACTTTGGTGAGGTGCTTGATTTAGCACCGTCTGCCATCTTCATTAAAAACTTCCGTTAGATGGAATTAACAAGGCACGCATTAACTGGTTTGAAAAATGGCTCGCTGGGAGATCTCAACATGTAGTTGCTAACGGGGAGACTTTAACGAAAGGAAACACCACAAACAGGTCCCCAGAGGAGCATTGCCTTGTCCACAGCTAGTCAATATTTCTATTAACAATTAAAATAATAGCATAAACATGGTGGGTTGATTTAAATTGTGATGTAATGCAGTGACCAGCAGACTTTTATCAAAACAGTTGATGTAATCTTGTCCTGCATTTGTACCTTTTCAGCTTTTTTCCATGAAAGCCTCATTTCCATTTGTTGGCAGTCATTAAGACATGTTGATTGGAACATGTTGACAGCTTTTATGCTAAATTTAGCACTTCATTTAGTAATGAGGACAGATTACAGCTATAAAAGTATATTTAAACAAATATACACCTGCAAAATTTTTAATATATTAAATGTTTTAGGAAAGTTTTTTTTTTTTTACTCATGATTGGCAAAGCAGTGAACAGGACTGGAATGCAATTAAAGCAGACAAAGGCATTATTCCAACGTGAGGTTATTAGCTAAATAAAGGTGATTCAAGGGAGCCAGAGAGATAAGAAAACATGTTTTCTGTAAGATGCTACATTTATAATTGATTTATTGTGCAAAGGAAACATCACTTAGACTGAGCTTATCTACTCCGACCCGGTTGTTCCGGCACAGGGTACCCTCCAAGGCTTCAGCATCACCATCTCACCTCAGCCAAACCTGCGCTTGGACTGCAAGAGAGGAAAGAAGGTGCCCTGGCTCTCCACAGCCCCACCGCTTCCCCGCTCTGCAGCCACTTTATCACCGAGTATCAGGAAATTAGTATTAACTGGGAGCAACCAAACCTCTTGCAGGCCCAGCAACCTCCATCCCCTCCCGGGACTTTGCCCCCTCAGCCCCGCGCCCGCACACCGACTGCCCCTT